TTAAAAAAAATTAAAAAAAAATCAAATCAAATCACAACCATGTACCCAACTCTGCACCTACTTTCCAATCATTCAGTTTTAAACAAAGCAGAAATTATAATTTTTTTTTTTTTTTGCAGCTTTTGGCTGGGGCTGGGCTTGAACCCACCACCATTGGCATATGGGGGGCCGGCGCCTTACTCTTCTGAGCCACAGGTGCCTCCAAGCAGAAATACTACTTTTAAGTAAAATCTCTCTTCTCACCAAAAATTTAAATTCCTTGAAAGCAGGGAACTTTGTGGTTTCCCAGCAGCTCCTTGGCATGTCACTGAAGGTCTTTGTTGAATGGATGAGTACATGAATGAACTGGATACAGAAGTAAGGCAATGAAGTCGACACCAAGATGACACCACATTTTAGTGTGAGAAACTGGATGGATGCTGAGATAGGGACGCCTGAAAGAGGACTAGGCTTAAGGGCGTGGGTGGTAACAGCTCTGTTCCAGAGAGCCTAATTTTGAGGTGTGCATTAGACATCAGTAGATACAGTATCATTAGGCAGCTGGATAAGTCAGTCTGAAATTCTAGAGACTCTCTGGGGGTTAGAGTCAAACCCCAGGAGGTGGCCAACAGCTTGTAAATAGCCATAAGCCATTGGAGCAGTGATTGGTGCCAACAGTCCAAGGTGTAACCATCCAGATGAGATCTTCCCGTCAGAGAGCAGAGAAAGGGATGAGGTCCAGGGCCTGGATTATACCAGCCTTTAGAGATCAAGCAGAGGGGAGGGAGGGTCAAAAAGGACTGCAACGGAGCCAACAGAGAGGCAGGTGAGAAGCCAGAAGTGCTACGGGAAGGTGGGATGTGACCACAGCTGTGCCTGACTCAGTCTTAGCAGAGGACTGAGAAAAGAATGGAAGTGAACACATCAGCTACAGTCCTCTCCTTGTAGATGCTGAGCTATGAAGGGAGCACATGGGACGGTTATACCTTGGACTGTTGGCACCAATCGCTGCTCCATTTGCAAGCACCCTAACCCACTCTCTGACCACTCTTCTCTTCAACCCACTTCAGTACCTGCGCATAAACAAAACTTCAGTCCCACCAGTCCCACCGAGTATGGGCCACCCACATTCTCACTTCCTTTCTTACCCTGCCTAGATTCCTTGGGCCACCACCAAGTCCCCCTGATTCCTTCTTTCATACCCTGCCCTCTCAACACAGGCAAACTTTAACTTTGATCAAACCAATTCTTAGTTTATTTTATCCCTGCATTTGAGGAGCTAAATGCAGCTGAAGAAAACATGCCAACTATGCTGAGCATATATTTCAGGTAGGTCTGTAGGACTGCCTGTAATTGACCAATTCCCTGGTAGGTTGACTCCTACTTTGCAAGATGGTTACTCCCCACCTGTACTTTCTCAAGCCTCTAGCACTCCCTCCCCCCTTCCTTACTCTCTGCCCTTGATTTTGTTTTTTATAGTTCACTGAGAAAAGAGAAACTAAGAGACCACCTCATCTTCCTGCCATGAGATCTGCTAACTTACCTCCGTCTATGCCCACATACTCTACCTGTTGCAAGGCCAAGGTTCCCGTTTGGTTATCATAAATTTCCCTTCTATGGGAGTTAACAGTAACTCATACATACAAAGCTGCAGTGGTTCCCATCTTAAAAAGAAATACCTCCCCCAGACTTCAAATTCCTTGTAGGTGCCAACCCATTTCCCTATCCCACTTCTTGAAATGAAATAAGAGAAGAATTTCAGGAACCAAGAAATTGGTTTCTCTTATTTCATTTCATTTATGATCAAATGTCGCCTCTGTAGCCACCTGTCTGATACAGACCCCCCCTCCACCCAATTGAATCATTTCCCTCTCTTCTCCCTTTACTTTTCTCACGAGTACTTATTCACTCCAAATTATACGCTTATAGGCTTGTCTCCTCGACTCAAATATAACGTAAGCTCCTTGAAAGCAAGTCTTTATCCATTCAACCCATACCATCTACACATTGTGACCACACAAGTAATGGTTCAGTTACAGAAAAAGGTATCTGAAAAGGGAGGGAAGGCTCAAAGGTGGCCTTCTCTTTTTAAAATAAAAACACTGTAGCATATGTTTATGCTGATAGGAATAATCCCGAAGAAGGAATTTGCTAATGTAGGAGGGGACAATATGAAAGGCAGTGTAGATGTTATCAGACATACTGGTGGTGAGAAGTGGGAAAAAATGAGGGAGGCTCTGGGATGTCATCTCCACTAGCTCTCTGTTTATCACGTGATCCTTGCCATCCCTCCCTGCAGAAGATTGCTGTGATCGTGATCTAAGAGGACGCCCCACTTCACCCCTTGCATGAGACGGACCAGAGTTCTGTTGCATACTGGATTTCACCATCAGGCTTCACCAATAAGGCTTTTTTCCATAGCTAGAAAATTTAAACCCCAGGGCAATTTGAAAAATAATAGCCTGCACATTTTTTTCAAAAACTGTAAACTAAAAATCACATTCTCGTTTGTGCTTCTCTTTCAGGAACTATGTGAAAAACAACATTTGTTTTATGAGTCACCGCCAAGCAGAATTAGTGCCAACACAGCTTCAAAAAAGAAAACCCCAAGTGCAGCTCCTGGAGTGTAATAAGCCATGTGTTGGAGGACAACCAAAGGCAGCTGTCTCCAGAGACCTAACAGCCTCAAACACCTAGCAAACAGGGGTGCCCTGTGACAACACTTAGCAGGGTGTCTGGGACCAATGTGTAGTTGCTACTCCTGTGTTCTTTTTTCAGTGTCATTGAAGGACACACTGAAATTATTTAAAAAAAAAAAAAAAAAAGAGAGAAAGAAAACTATGCCCACATACTCTTCCCTGAAGGTAGATGAGGTATACAGGTCTTAAGTGATTTCTTTTTGATTCTGAACGTGTAAATCAGGATAGAAAAAATGATGCTGGCTGGTTCAATACTTTGCACCTTTCCCACAGAGCAGCCTTTGAAAAGACTTAAGTCCTACTGGTGAGATCAACCTTTGCCTTAAGCGAAGTACATAGGGAGGTCTTGCTGCTTCGTTATTCAGACGCAAATTGTCTGGACACAGGCTTACAGTTTTGGCTTACTAAGGACACTACTTGCAATGGGTCTTGTGTAAAAAGAACCAAGACATGCAATGTGGACAATTTAATTGCACATGTTTTCTCTCTAGATTAGTTAGAAGCAGATCCTGGCTAGGATTTTAGTGATAATTCCTAGTTACAGTTCAACAAGTACCAAGATTATACTACTTATTTTATGAGTTGTGATCTACAGTTAAATGCAAAATAGCCTACTTTTATGAATTTTGTAATATTGTAAAATCTTTTTAAAAGCCAATTTCACAATAGTTGAGAAAAATATGCGTTTTTTTCGTTTTAAAAATGAATATCAAAGACAATTTAAAAATCCTGGGACCATATTTATTCAGAAATAGTTGTTAGTAAAATATTACAAAAGGAGTTAGGATATTAGGTTATTTATCTAGATCTCTAAGCAATTAGGTTTAAGTCATTAAGCCTATAAAAATTCTCTCCTTGTAAGGCTTTCATGACAACTTACAGTAATCCAGTTTCCTGCAACTCTTTGCACTCAGGAATATCACTACCTCAGGTTACGGCACACAGGCTGTATGCGACGCTGACTTTCAGATGACTGCAGACAAAATAAGAGAGCTTCACACACAGAGACAGTTTCCTATGTTCTTCTCTGTGATGAATCATATTGATGCACACTGTGCCAGCAACATGAATCTTCATCCACACAAAGATGGACTGTTCTCTTCTGTATTTCTCCAGTTGATTTTTAGTAAGACATTTTACCAACAGAATTGGGATATGATAGAAAATCCACAATAAAGAATCTTAAAGCCCTTAAGTAGTAGCCCATTAAATGACTAATATTGCAAACTCTAAAAGGCATGCCAAAAACTTAAAAGAATGAATAACCTAACTTGAGAAAGAATTTAAAACTCCATTTTATTTACCTGGGAATGTTTCTATAGGTTTTTAACAAACTGTCCTAGTTTCAAATTAAGGGTATGTGATCCATGACATCTCCTTATAACAAAGGGAAAGACTACATAAATCTCTGTGGCATAAGAGACTCAGGAGAGTAACTGAAATTTATTATCTAAATTAAAATTGGCAAGGGAAGGCCAAGGGGAAAGGAGATTTCAAATGTTAATTCTGTCATGGTACATTTCATATGCAAGGTAGAACATACTCTGCTTTTTAGTTTTGGAAAAGGAAAAGGAATATGTCTGTGTTCTGCAGAGGGTCAGTTTAAGAAATTTATCACAATCCTTTTGTAGTTAGTAAGTCTGATGATGGGGCTTTCAAGGCTCTTGTGTGAGATGTGCCTCCTTGAAACCTTGGTGTGGCATGGACAAAAGCAAGACATTTATCATGAATCTTCGGTGAATTACAGGCCAAGACTTCTTTTTAAAAATCAAGACAGGTTATCAATATGAACTGGGTTTTCTCTCTCTCTCTCTTTTTTTTTTTTACCAAACACCACAGATGGTAAGACATTTAATAAAGCTATTCCATGTTTCCTCTGAAGCACGAGCAGCTATTTCTTGGTTTAGCCATTCACTGTATATAGGCATAACATTGTTTATTAAGCTAGCTGGTTTATTACCAGTGACCTCAACTTCAGTATCTTTTATCATCTTTTATATTTTTCTTTTATTGTTTTGAGTCTGTAACTAAACAATTTTATCTTCAAACTAATTTTTACCCAATACCCATCATCTTATACCAAATCAAGCTTTTTGGTTTTCAAAAATACAAAGGGGGCATACTTATAATTTTTATGTATATATTCACAGTTTTTATTTATAAAAAAAATTTACAGTACTGTGGAAAGCCAGCAAAAGACATCAGACACACTCATTTCTTCCCAGCTTTGTTTAGTGGCTTACCCATGGACACTGCCCAGTGAGGCTCAGGCAGCAGCCCTGGAAGCAGACCTGGTTAGATGCCTCCCCATCCTTTACAGAGAAAACACTTCCATGAACTATTGATCTGCTCAGCTTTCAGTTCACTCAAATACTGAAAATGTTACATTATCTGGATCCACATCTTGGCTATATAATCATGCTCCTCCCTTTCTATGCTTCCTTCTTTGTGAACACTGCAAAACAGGGGTCATTATTACTATTAATTAAAACTAAGTGAAAAATCTCAAATGTTTACAACAGTTTGCCTATAACTCTTTCATCTAATTTTACTCTCTATATTTATGAGTTTAGCTATACTAGTGGATCTTAAAATGAATCAAACACAAATGGAAAATAACCCCCCCCCAAATTAAAGTCTAAGAATCATAATTAAATCTTTCACAAGAAAGAAAAACATAAAAGTTAGCCTTTGCCCCCTACTTTGGAGGAAATGAGAGGCAGGGTAGGGAAAGGCATTGAAAAGGAAGACAAAAATAGACATAAAATAATACATACTGTTCAGTGCAGTGCTTAAGCTAGGTTTTCAAGATTTTATAACATGGTAAGGAAAAATGTACTATATACGGAGGTTAAGATGTTGCGATTTTTCACAAGGGTTTCAAAACTTTTTGGAAGTTCAAGTTTTTATAGAAAATTGTGTTGGAATATTGTCTCTATCAGGTTTCTCCTGAGAAACTAACTTGACTCTCCAGTCAGGTTAATTTCTAGGTAAAATCACTGTAGGTTATGCTAACTCCTAAGCCTAAGTGGTAGAGCAGGACCACAGCTGGATCCTGGGTTACCACTGCAGGGCTCCTGGGTGAGCCACAGACACTGTTTCATAAATACATATTTGTTATAACTGTAAGAGTAGTAACCCCATATACTGAATAGTCACTCTTTAGCTCCATTAAATAAGACACAGCGAAGGAAAGACATATCTCACAAAATGGCTTTCAAGTTCAAGTGGAACTGTATTATAATGATACTGTGGCACAGAGGCAGCTTGTGGGCACTTCTTTTTAAAACAGCACAATGTTATCAACTTCTGACTAGACTCTTAGTATAGCCTTGAGCACCGGCCTAAAATGAATGAGTCAAGAACCTCAACCACTTCCCTACAGCTATAGTTGTTGAGTCTTTCCAGAATAACAAGGTCCGAATGGGCACACGCTATCACATGGTCTTTCTCACGTCCATCTAGTGGGTAAGAGGTTTCTCTTTGTAAAACTACAATTTCTTTACCTTCAAAAGTGATTTAACATTTTCTATCATATTAAATTAGCAACATTAAACATTATCCTTTATCTATAAAGTTCTACTCCGGTTCCCTAGAATTTATATACACATTTTTATTTCTAATCTGCATGAAAAAATTTCCTATTAGATATTTGGTAACACAGCATTAAAGATACTATTCACATGTGGCGCATATATATATATACAAAATACACTTCAAAAAGAAGCCAACACACTTTAGCCGAAGTCTAAGCTTGCATAGATTAAAAAAAAATCATGAATACAATTTTTGTTAAAATAGAAAATGGGGAATAAAAGTTGCAGAATGGATATGAAGAGAGATCTTTTCCAAACTTTTATTTGTGCACATTCAATTGAAAAAGATAACTTTTACAGGTTCTTTGGTGCCCATATTCAGCATACAAAAATGTAAAAGACTATTCACAAATAAAACACCTTAGCTCAAACTGGAAAAAAATAACAATGACAACAATAAAACAATCTAAGGTAGTGCACACTGTGACAGCTCTGCTTATGGGGACATGAGAATTACTGCGAAAATAAATAGAATGTCCTTTTGTAAAAGCAGCAATGTCATGTCTTGTAAACTTCCTTTTTATATTACAGCAACGTTTGGAATAAAATCCAAAGGGACTGGAGCTTACACTGTAGCCGTGAATGAGTAAAAGAGTCTATTTCCTCAATTATTGTTGGTCCAGTTTTCCTTTTGAGTCCAAATGTGCAGGTTTTAAAAGGTGCTCAGTTAGAGAATCTAACCAATTAAGTAATGAATTATAAAATTTCTTTCCTGCTTTCAAACACAAATGGGTAGATCTGTTCCACAGCAGTAGCAACGGCCTTTACATTGGGCCCTGGAAGAAACACAAGGGAGCAAGGTAAGAAGAGGTAAAAAGGAGAGGGCTAGGGGAAACTGACTGCCCAGAACTATAAATATTCAGGGAGTTCAGAATGTTAAGTTAGCTGTCTAAAATGTCCACACTTACATAATTTTACATATAGTCAAGAAGAACCAAAAGAATGTAATTTTTATTTAGACAAAGGAAATCTAAAAGACAAAATAATATTCATTTTGTTTCAGGGCCCCAATCTGAAAAAAGGGTATAAGAAACTGCACGCAACTCTTGTGGCAGAGAATAAAAAGCACTGTAATGTAATGTGGAGGACAGGAAGGAGTAAGAAACGGACTAGACAACCACGGTCCTTTCAGTCACTGTTACTTGGCTTTGGCTACAAATGAGGCACCCAGAGTATGGAGGAACCCAGCAGAATAACACACAGCTGCTACCAAAACATTGGGAAACGAGAGGGCTGTTTAAACTACAGGGTCTAAAATTCCCCATCGATTTGTTGCCACTTAGTATCCACATTTATTACTAACCTGGTCATTTCCCTCTCAGTGCTTATCCAAGTCAATAAGGGGGTAAAAAGTACAAGACAGTAACCAAAATTGAACTAATCCATTCAATGCCATTTAAAAGTGTAATCTTTCATTTAAATAGCTAAGAAGAAACATAAAAAAGGGCAGTGAAAAGTATTTTCCAAAAAATTATTTTGAATTAAAAATGGTTTCATCAATATACACTTACCTCTTTTGAAAAGACCCTGAAAACTTAGATAGCCATCCACTGTGAGTGCTTTGAAGGTCCTCCCCATGTCCAACTTGGTCAGCTCCTTCCTGATTACCCTTTCCCCCACCCCACAAAGGACAAAGTGCTTTGCTCAAGGGAAACACTCAGCATGTGTTCACTGAATTGGTAACATTTCATAGGCTATTCTAGATGTAAAGAATGCACACTACTTAACTAGGTCAAATGTCTTGGGTTTGTTATTGTGCTGGTTAATTATTCATTAACTCAATAACACAGATTTTTACATATGCATCATTTTATTCTACATTTAGCAGGGACTACCACTGATAGATTTTGGGGCCTCTGAGATGTCCAAGCTCCAAAGTGTGCAAACAGTCAAAAGAAGGGAACAAATAGACTTGTTTCCTACCATCCCATTTTTAAGATTTAGGTGGGATTGTAGCAATAGGCTTTGAAAGTCTCCAAGAAAGATGAAAAAAGCTATGGGATGAGTCAAAAGTAAAACTTATTTGCTGAGAATCTAAACGTACCAAAAATTGTTATTCTCCTCTAAGGAATAAATGGCTGAAAAGCAAATGTCAAGGATACTAAAGAAATTCAGGTTTGCCTGAGGATGGGGTTGACTTTCAAACAATACTGCTATATAATTTATAATCATAGTACCTTTAAAAACCATACTGTACGCTAATGATACCCTTTGAAACATATGCCCAGTCTTCTGAAACCACCCCTTCCAAAAGATATAACAAATAGGTACCAATTATATTTTTAGAGTATTCTGTTTATGTAAAACTGCTAAAGTTCATAAAGTATGAACCTCTGAAGTTCTAGAAGGTTATTTTAAGTGTAAGATATCATACATTTAAAAATCATATCATGGGCCAGGGGTAGTGGCTCATGCCTGTAATCCCAGCACTCTGGAAGGCTGAGGTGGGTGGACTGTTTGAACTCAGGAGTTTGTGACCAGCCTGAGCAAGAGCGAGATCCTATCTCTACTAAAAACAGGAAAAACTAGCTGGGTGTCGTGGTGGGTGCTTATAGTCCCAGCTACTTGGGAGGCTGAGGTACGAGGATCACTGTGCCCAAGAGATGGAGGTTGTATGAGCTGTGATGCCACGGCACTCTACCTGGGATAACAGAGTAAGACTCTGTCTCAAAAAAACAAAACAAAACAAAACAAAAAAACCGTATTATGGATATATCGAATTTTCTTAACAGCTCCATACTGGAAACTACTCAAATGCCTTTGGATAGTACATTCACACATTAGATGAAAATAAATGATCTACATACCTCTACATGGAACAATACAGATGAATCTTACTAAGACAATAATGAGTAAAAGACAGACACAAAGCAGTACATGTAGGAGTTACGAATAATACAAAACAAGTCAAAGTAATCTACAGCGGTAAATGTTAGGAGACTGGTTCCCCTTAAAGGGCAGAAGAAGTGATCAAAGAGAGAAATTAGACATTATCTCTATCTTGGTATGGGCAATCTTACATCACTCAATCCATAACTGACAAGTTTTGTTTTAATATTATAGAATACCTGTTACTGTGATACTTCCTGTTGAAAAAATCTGTAATGTAGCTCTTAGAGACTTTATTCGATAGCACACAGCAGGATGAAGTTCAGGTTCATAACTACACACACACACAAAAAAAGCCAAAATTAATATAAATATTTATAACCTAACGAGTAATTTTAAATTTGTGAAGTTATCTTGCCTCTTCAAAGACCTACCTGGCATGAGGTCTATTGTTCTTTGTGAATTCTGGCAAACGGATTTCAAATGGCATGTTACATACTGCCAAAACGTTAACAACCTTAAAATCCGTAAATATTACCTTAGGAAAAAGTAAAATACAATGAATTTATTTTGAAACAAAAAAAATGCCTATTATAGTAATCATTACTGTCAATCCTTAAAATAAGTGTTTTATCTTAAGTAAAACAGAAACATCTTAAGAATGAATTTAATATAAGTTGTTTTTTAAAATCATTTTTCTAATTATTATGAGTACATAAATAATAGTTTTATATCTTTGAAGTTGTTTAGTATTAAAATCTATAATTGAATTTTAAAAAGCTCAAAAACTTCATTAAAAAATTAAACCTGAGATATTTGCATGATTCAAACAGTATATTCAGAGTCACTTGAATCTTAAGTTTTCTTTCATTTTTTAATACTTTAAATGGGATACTTAAAACTATTGGGGAAAAGGGAGACTAGTGAGAAGAAAAAATAAAGCAGAGTTCTAAAGAAGCAAACTGGAAAAGGTGTCTCCCTAAAATATCAATGGAGCGTACGGTGGGCTCTAATGGTCAGATGTTTTCTCATATACCGTTAGTGTAAAATAACATTTCTGTGAGTTTGATTGCATGTTTATTTTCTCTTGGAGGATAGAGATAAAACTGTGCTTTTAACTAATTGGGATTTCTCACTTCAAATTAGTTATATATTAAGAAAAGAAAATTCCAAGGGTGAAAATGTTCTCCAAAAACTTCAGCCACTCCCACAATCTTGAATTGTTTCATTTCATTATCTTCTCCTCCTTAATCAGTCCTCCTAAAACCACAATTATAGATGAGCTCTCCTCCAACCCAGTACTCACACAGTACAGTTGCAGAAAGCCGGGATACGGCAAAACAGCACCATCTTCGAACCAAGGGACCCATCAAGGTGCTCTGTACTGCCACTCTTCTCAAGCACTAACCCTACACTCCAATAGCAGTTCAGTCCATTCCTATTACTTCTCCTTCAGAGAGACTGAGTTATGAGAGAGAAACTCAATTTCTCACCTGTTTCCACAAACTGACCTAAGTCCCAAATTATATTTGAAAAACCTCTGAATTTCATAAGGTAAGTGTCTAGGGGTCTTATCATATTTATCTATAATTTACTCATCATTTCCAAGTGACCCAGCAGTTCTGTAAAACGGAATCATTTTATTTGAAGGTATACTTCTACCAAATTATATGTGACAAAGCTGACATACCCTGCAGTCAAGTTACAAGTGCAAGAGCCTGCCAACCAGTGTGTCCATGTCAGTAGGACCCTGCAGCTCTCGACTCATCATCCTGGCCTGGCATTTGTGAGATGACCAAAAACTTTTTCTTTATTGGTGAGAAGTGACAAATTAGGAGTTGAAAAGGAAATTAATCTGTAAGGAGACAAGTAACTCTGTGGGAAAAAAAAATTGGGACAAAGCTAGGATCTTTTACAAATACCCACAGGCCAAGTTTTGCTACTCATTTTCATACTGAAGAGGAGTATTAAAAAAAAAAATCTAGAAAAAGTTAAACCATAAGAAGAGTTTCTGGGGTGGCACCTGTGGCTCAGTTGAGTAGGGGGCTGGCCCCATATACCAAGGGTGGTGGCCTTGAGCTGGGCCCCTGTAATCCCAGCTACTCAGGAGGCTGAGGCAAGAGAATTGCCTAAGACCAAAAGCTGGAGGTTGCTGTGAGCTGTGACGCCACAGCACTCTACCAAGGGTAACA